GTGTTCCAGCGAAGCCCAACACAAGCTGGAGGAACAACACCTCATTTTCTGCTTGGGGACCCTTACAGCTCTCCGGACTCAACATTGAGTTCAATAATTTTAGGACCTAAACTCTCCCATGTCCCAGCCCCCCACCCCACACACAAGGCCTTGTTACCACATTGCCTGCCATTACACACCCCCTGTTATTAGTCACTAACAGTCTCCATTGACAACTATTCACCCTCCCAGCCTGATCGTTAGCAACTCCTTTGTCTGTCCAACTGTCTTTCTCTCTCTTTGGGCTCTATCCTATGTCTACTCCCTACCTCCCCACCTCCCTGTTTTCTGCATATCAACTGACATTTTCCCATCAGTTCTGAGGAAGGGTCACCAGACCTGAAACATTAACGTTTTTTCCTTCACAGACACTGCCAGACCTGCGGAGCTTTTTCAGCAACCTCTGTTTTTGTTCCTGATTTATAGCATCCGCAGTTCTTTAGGTTTTCATTGAGTATAGGAGTTGGGTCATCGTGTTGCAGCTGTACAGGACATTGGTGAGGCCACTCTTAGAATATTGTAAACAAATGTGGTTTCCTTTCTATAAGAAGATGTTGTGAAACTTGAAAGGGTTCAGAAAAGATTTACAAGGATGTTGCCAGGATTGGAGGGTTTGAGCTATAGGGAGAGGCTGAATAAGCTGGGACTATTTTCCCTGGAGCATCAGAGGCTGAGGGGTGACCTTATAGAAGTTTATAAAATCATGAGGGGCATGGATAGGGTGAATAGACAAGGTCTTTACCCTGGGGCAGGGGATTCCAAAACTAGAGGGCATAGGTTTAAGGTGACAGGGGAAAGATTGAAAAAAGATCTAAGGGGTAACTTTTTCACACAGAGGGTGGTGCGTGTATGAAATGAGCTGCCAGAGGAAGTGGTGGAGGCTGGTACAATTACAACATTTAAAAGGCATCTGAATGGGTGCATGAATAGGAAGGGTTTAGAGGGATACGGGCCAAACGCAGGCAAACGCGACCAGTTTAGTTTGGGAAACTTGGTCGGCAAGGATGAGCTGGACTGAAGGATCAGTTTCTGTGCTGTAAAAGTATGACTAGGCCTGGCAGCATCTGTGGAGAGAAATCAGAGTTAAAATTTAGGTCCGGTGACCCTTCCTCAGAACTGATCTGCTGAGATTTTCCAGCAGTTTCAGTTTTCACAGTTAGTTTGGTCAACAATCCCAATTAATGTTCTCAAAGGGTGGGGGAGAGCAACTGGATAAATCCATGTTTCAATTTGGTAATGAGCTCTTGGGGTGTGTAAATGGTAGGTTAGCTCAGTTTACCTGGGCAGCTGTTTTCACAAACAGACTGATATCAGCAGTATGTGTTCAATTCCCACAACCAGCTGAGGTTACCCTGAAGGGACTCTCCCTTTCAACCTCTCCCCTTGTCTGGGACGTAGTGACCCTCAAATTAAACCATCACCCATTGTCTCTCTCTGATGAGAGAGCAGCCCTATGATCCTCTATGACAACTTTGTCTTTACCTTAGCATGGTATGTGGGTGTCACTGGCTAGGGCAGCATTTATTGCCCATCCCTAATTGTCCAGAGGGCAGTTGAGAATCAACCACATTGCTGTGGGTCTGAAGTCACATGTAGGCCAGACCAGGTAAGGATGGCAGTTTCCTTCCCTAAAGGACATTAGTGAACCAGATGAATTTTTCCTGACAATTGGCAATGGTTTCAAGTTAATCATTAGATTGTCAATTCCAGATTTTTAAAAAATTGAATTCACAAAATGCCGTGGGCAGCATTCGAACCCGGGTCTCCAGAACATCACCTGGGTCTCTGGATTAACAGTCCAGCGATAAAACCACTAGGCCATCACCACCCCATAACTCATGGCTTTTTAAGACTCAGGTTTGCGATGACGTTTGACATCAAGGGCATACTATGTTTCTCCGTAGTGGTTGTGCTTGATAGGGACTGGGTAACCCAGGGCAACCAAACTGGGGGGCTGGCATATCATAAACGTCCAACTCTCTCTTGTCAATAGGGCCTACAGGCAGTGGAAAGACCACCTTCATCAGTGAGTATGCCCTGGACCTCTGTATCCAAGGTGCGAACACCCTGTGGGGAAGCTTTGAGATCAACAACGTGCGGCTGGCCAAGATTATGCTGACTCAGTTTGCGATGCAGCGCCTGGACGATCAGTTGGAGAAGTACGACGAGTGGGCGGACAAGTTCGAGAACCTGCCGCTGTATTTCATGACGTTTCATGGCCAACACAGCATCAAGTAAAGTATTTGGCCGGGGTGGCTCAGTGGCCGTTTGTGTTTTTACGCAGTAAGACCTCCTAAGGGTAGGAAACCAATAGGTTGGCGCAGACACGATGGGTCGAAGAGCCTCTTCTGCGCTGCGTGACTTTCAGTGCAGGAAGGAAGAATGTCCAGGGAGTGACTCCAATGAGGAGAGGTGGAGAGGGTCAGGGAGGGAGTTCCAGAGCCTGAGGCCTAGGTGGCTGAGCAATGGAGAGATCAGGATCGGAACTGTGCAAGAGGCCAGTATTAGAATGGTACACAGGTCCTGGAGGGTTGTAGCACTGGCACTGTGACCCTGAGGAGCAATCACTCTCACTTTGGGTGAATTAACCTTGTTTCCTTTTGACAGAACCCGCACCTTACTTGCCTCTGGTACAGCCTCGGCCTGCAGGCTGGCACATGGGGGTAAGGTGTGAGTGCTGGCTCTTAGGCTCCTGTTTGTGGGCCTTTCCTGGTGGGCGAGCTGCTGTGGGATGTACCTGCGCTTGTGTGTCAGGACAGAATCCATCGCTGATTGCCCACTGCCGCTCATTACCAGAGTGAGGGGGGGTGGGAGAGGTGGTGGGGGAGAGGGGAGATAGATAGAGAGAGAGAGAGAGAGAGACCCACTTCAGGGCATTGAACGTAGAATCCCTACAGTGCTGGAAACAGGCCATTCAGCCCATCAAGTCCACACCAACCCTCTGAATAGCATTCCACTCAGACCCTTCCCCCTACCCTATCCCTGTGACTCCTGCATTTCCCAGTTAGTCCACCCTAACCTGCACATCCCTGGACACTATGGGACAATTTAGCATGGTCAATCCACCCTAACCTGCACATCTTTAGACTGTGGGAGGAAACCAGAGCACCCGGAGGGAACCCACGGAGACACGGGGAGAATGTGCAAACTCCACACAGACAGTCGCCTGAGGGTGGAATCGAACCTGGCGCTGTGAGGCAGCAGTGTTGAGATGGCGCATAGCCATGGGAAATGCAGGGTTACAGGGATATGGTAGAGGGTGGGTCAGTAGGGACTCGATGGGCTGAATGGTCTGCTTCCACACTGTAGTGATTCTATGAAGATTCTATACCAGGCAGTGAAGGATAGAGCTACAACCATCATTACACACTTGAGAAGCAGATACACATTAGAACAATGCAGATTGTACCTGAATAATCACACTTTGGCCCCCTGGTGCGAGAAACATTTATTTGGCTCGACAGGCTAGTCCATGTCAAACTGTTTTATTGAGTCCTTTCTCCTCTTCTGTCCTGCAACCGTCCTGGCTGTTTCTCCTGATTTAACAGAACCGTAATTTCTTTAACTAATTCTCTCCGCAGATTTGGAGACTGTAGCTCCCTAGATTATACCATCACCAATAGTCCTGTCCTGGCACCAGGTGGGAAGAAGCTTTGCTTTTCCAATTTACATATCAGTTTGACCCGTGGATCAGCTGTTGAGTAGCATCAATGCATTGTAACCCTGTCACTGAGATTTCAGGGGATTGCCCCTTTTCCTAGGCACAATCACTGCTGCTCGGGGATAATTGATTGGGTTATCAACTCATAGAATGGGGGTTGGGAGGTGGGGGGGGTGGGTGGGGGTGGGGCGTGTGGGTGGAGGCGGAGGCTGGGCTGACACTTTCAGAAAGTCATCCAGTTGGCTCCGTTCCATCTTCCCACAGCTAGTCCTGCAAATGCCTGCCCTTCCAGAATTTAGTTTATTCTCCAACACGTTCCACATCTCAGCTTGATAAGATTTCTTTTTGTGTTCCCTCTCCTTCTGTCCCTGACCTTACATTGTTATTACTGTTTTACTGCCACAGTACAGCACAGAGGAAGGTCCTTAGCCCTGTCCAGACTGCTCCTATCATAAACAGCTACCAACTATTCAGCCCTTCTCCAGCACGTGACCTATAACCTTGGTACGGCAAGTGCACATTTTAGTACTACTTAATCCATGAGGATTCTGGAGCATCGGAGGCTGAGGGGTGACCTTATAAAGGTCGTGAGGGGCATGGATAGGGTAAATAGCCAAGGCCTTTTTCCCAGGGTAGGGGTGTCCAAAACTAGAGGGTGTAAGTTTAAGGTGAGAGGGGAAAGATTTAAAAGGGACCTGAGGGGCAACATTTTCACAGAGGGTGGTGCGTATAAGGAATGAGCTACCAGAGAAAGTGGTGGAGGCTGTTACAATTACAACATTTAAAAGGCATCTGGATGGGTATATGAATAGGAAGGGTTTAGAGGGATATGGACCAAATGCTGGCAAATGGGACTAGATTAATTTAGGATCTCTGTTCAGCATGGACCAGTTGGACCTAAGGGTCTGTTTCCATGCTGCACACTTTGTGACTTCATGACTCTCAAGACCTCAATCAAATCTCTCCTTGACCTTCTCTGGTCTATGGAGAATAATCCCAGCTTCTCTTAGTCACAGGATTGTTAAAGCACAGAAGGAGACCATTCAGCCCATTGTGCCTGTGCCAATCCAGTCTGTCCATACATATCAATGGTAGAACAAGGGAACAGACGCAGGGTTGGAAGGGACAGCTCAGCACTGTTGAGAACACTGAAAGGGTCTGACTTTGTTGAGCCTCCTGGAATTCTCATGTTTACAAGGTGTTTTTTATTTGTGTTCTAGTCTGTGATTGAAAGCAGTGTAGTGTTATATAACCTGGGTGAATCTTACACCATCTCTGTTTGTAATGCAGGTCAGTTATTGACACAATGCAACATGCGGTTTACATGTATGACATCAGCCATGTTGTTATAGACAACCTGCAGTTCATGATGGGACAGGAACACTTCACCGTTGACAAGTAACTGAACCTCTTTTTATATAAAATACGGGCCAAATTATGAATGCAAGGTCTTTTACTTTCTACCAACTTTGCAACTAGATGTTAGCACCTTTCCAAGAACGGAGGTAATTCTCCAGGTTCTGTGGTTTATATCGAAGTCTCCTAGAAATCAGTGGGAACTCTGTTAATCGATTTTCCCAGAGCTGCCTGTCCTGCGTTCACACTGTGCCGCCCTCATCGCTGTTTCCACCCAATGTGGAGTCTGGTTGGTTTTGCTCATCCTGTGGAAAGGCTGACTGGGTTTGAAATAAAACATATTGAAATACGCCACTCGCCCCATCGAGTCTGCTCCACCCTTCTGTACAGCCTGAGTCTAACTCCCTCCCTGATAGCGCTGTGGGACCTACTCCATCTGTTTGAGAAGGTGGCTAACTGCAGTCCTCTCTTGAGGGCAGTTAGGGCTGGGCAGTCCATAGTGCCCCATCCAGCAAATCCTATCAAAGCTGTCAAGTTTGATGCTCATTGAATCTCAGTGCTGTTCCCTCCCTCGCCAATATCCCCCATGCCACACACCCCCCCACCCCCCAGTCTCTTGCTGCAAGGAAGCCCATTGATCTGAATGGAACTTCTCTTCATTCACAAGAAGATTTTCGGGTCTGACAGCGATCAGGAGGATTTAAGGGCTCTGAGGCTATATCTGTGACTACCTTGTGGACGACTATCACTTTAGCCTCCCCCATTCCCCCCTCCACCCACCACCACCCCACCTGCTCCAAGAGCACTGGAAGGAAGGGAGATGATGGCCCAGTGGTATTATCGCTGGACTATTAATCCAGAGACCCAGATGACGTTCTGGGGACCCAGCTTCGAATCCTGCCATGGCAGATGGTGGAATTTGAATTCAGTAAAATATCTGGAATTAAGAATCTAATGATGACCATGAATCCATTATTGATTGTCGGAAAAAACCCATCTGGTTCACTAATGTCCTTTAGGAAGGAATCTGCCATCCTTACCTGGTCCGGCCTACGTGTGCCTCCAGACCCACAACAATGTGGTTGATTCTTAAATGCCGTTTGGGCAATAAATGCTGCCTGGCCAGCGACGCCCTCATCCTGTAAATGAATAAAAACAAAGGAAAGAAGGGTTTTCAAGCCTGTTCCACCCCTTCAGTTGCATCAAGGCCAGAGTTCCAGCTATCTTTGCGTCTTTGTGAGAGGGAGTGTCTCCTGTTGCCAGTTTGAAAGTTATACTGTCTGGTTCTGGACTCTCTTCCCCCTGTCCCCACTACAACCCCCACCCCCAGACAAGTGAACCATTTAATTCCCTTTGCCCCGGTGTTAAGGACAAAAGCTAAAAGGCTGTCCCTGTACCTCAGGTTTTCCGCACAGGATTACATTGTCGGGACATTTAGGAAGTTTGCTACGGACAATAGTTGTCATGTGACTCTGATCATCCATCCCAGAAAGGAGGACGATAACAAGGAACTGCAGGCAGCTTCAATCTTCGGGACAGCCAAGGCAAGTCAAAACTCTTCTGTTTAACACAGTGACCACCAGGAGGGTCTGGGATGGTTTGCTGTGAATCACTCATGATTGTTCTCACTCTGCATTGTGCTGCGTTTCGGTGAATGAGAGCCCATCCAAAACCCTGCTGCCCTTATCCGAACTGTCACCGAATCGTGTTTACCTACTGCCCCTTTTATCCACTGTTACCTACACCAGCGTTTGTGAATATGCTCATTTCCATGCTCAGGTCCCTCCATAAAACCAAGACCACTGGCCTCTCTCTCTCTCTCTTCCTCCAAACCTGACTTTCCTCTTTGTCCCTTTTGGAGATAATCACTGTGATTGCTTGGACATTAAACGCTTGGTGCCCTCTCCCTCTGTCTCTCCCCATCTCTTCCCTGCTTTATGTTTGAACACTGATACAAATGGAAACTGATGGCCCCGATATTTTGTCTGTTTGATCTGCGACGTGCTCGCCCCACCGCTCTGATCTGGCCCAGCGATGGAACCCAGACGGTAATGCTGCCAAACATTGCTCTGTAATATTGCTAACACCGCCCAACCCTTAGCACCATCTTACATCCTCCTGGTTTTGAATTGTTTGATCTCACATTGCCTCTGAGATAACACTGCATTCTGAGTGGTACAGGTGCTAGGGTTTGGCTCAGTGCTGAGTGCTCTCTCTGGTGTCATTCTTGACATTGGTTAGGCCACTTTTGGAATACTGTGTGGAATTCTGTTCTTCCTGCTATTGGAAGGATGTTGCAAAGCTAGAAATGACTTGGAAGAGATTTACAAGGATGTTGCCAGGTTTGGAGGGTTTGAGCTATAGGGAGAGGCTGAATAGACTGGGGCTATTTTCCCTGGAGCATCAGAGGCTGAGGGGTGACCTTATAGAGGTTTATAAATCATGAGGGACATGGATAGGGTGAATAGACAAGGTCTTTCCCTGGGGGTGGGGGCATCAAAAACTGGAGGGCATAGGTTTAAGGTGAGAGGGGAAAGATTTAAAAGGGACCTAAGGGGCAGAGGGTGGTGCATGTATGGAATGAGCTGCCAGAGGAAGTGGTGGAGGCTGGCACAATTACAACATTTAAAAGGCATCTGGATGGGTATATGAGTAGGAAGGATTTAGAGGGAAATGGGCTAAATCCTGGTAAATGGGACCAGATTTATATAGGATATCTGGTCGGCTCGGACGAGTTGGACAAAAGGATCTGTTTCCATGCTGTACATCTCTACGACATTGTCTGTTTGATACAAGTGAAAATCGAGCTAGACCATTTCAGAGCAGGGTTATGGTTCAGCCACTTACTGGGGAGTTGGCCATACTAGGTGAGGACAGTAGATTTCCCTCGCTGAAGGGCATTAGTGAACAGGAAGGGGTTTTATGACAATCCATTCCTGCCGTGACCATCATTGGGGACTAGCTTTTTAACTCTGGATTTATATCATTGATCTCAGGGATGATGAGCTTCAGGTACATGGATACAATGGAGCATTCAGCACTGTTCTTGGGCCAGAGGAAGTCGAGGGGAGAATTGATCGAGGGTTTTAAAATCACAAGGGATCCGGGTGGGGTAGGTGGCGAGCAAGTGTTCCCATTGGTGGAAGGGTTGAGAACAAGAGAGCACAGATTCAACATAATTGGCAAAAAGAACATTGGCAACACAGGGGAAAAAACCTACTTTTGAGACGAGTGGTTAGGGTCTGAAACGTACTGACTGAGAGTGTGGGGGAGGCAGGTTCACTCGAGGTGTTAGGGTCTGGTTAGATATCTTACCTTAATGCTGTCGAGTTCCCAAATCAGCAACCTGTGGGGAATTATAATTCCCACCCATTTGCCCACACCTCCCTCGGGGTTTTCCAAATCCTGAGACGTTTCTCTTTGGTCTGGGTTAATATTCTGTGGTTGAAGGTGCCCTTGACTTTTCATCCCCCTGGGACCAATTGGAATCGGACAGTCGTACAGATCTCCAGGAAAGGTAAAGGCCCTTCAGCCCATCGAATTTGTGCTGGTCAATAAACAGCCACCTAACTATTCTAATCCCATTTCCCAGCACTTGGCCCATTGCCTTGTATGCCTTCGCATTGTAAGTGTGTATCTAAATCCTTCTTCAATGTTATGAGGGCCCACCCTTAAAGGTTGAGAGTCCCATAACCCCACTAGCATCTGGATGAAAATGTTCCCCTCACACCCCATCGAAACTTCAATCTGGTCATTGATCTGTCCCTCAGGGGGAAAGGTTTCTGCCCAAATATTCTTCCTGTTGAGTATTTGCTGTCAGGGAAGGGAGCGGGTGAGGTGCAGTGGTGAGGGGAGGGGGGCGTTGGTGGAGGATTGGTTAAAACAGTGACTTACCTTGTGCTGTTTGCTTGGGCCCAGGCGAGCCAGGAGGCTGACAACGTGCTCATTCTTCAGGACAAGAAGCTGGTCTCTGGCCAGGGCAAGCGCTATCTGCAGGTGGTGAAGAATCGCTTTGACGGAGAGCTGGGAATCTTTCCGCTGGAGTTCAAAAAGGCTTCACTAACCTTCTCTGCCGTCAAGGGGAGAGCCAAACTACAGAAGGTGAAGGAGGACAGTGACAACACCCCAGAGCAGCCTGGGAATTCCACTGACGCCAAAGAGAAAAAGTGACAGAGAAGCCCCTCCCGCTCGGGAAGGACAAATGGCGGAGGAGGGGAACATGGCTGCCATTGGCCTCCTGGTTACTGTGAACTCAGAATCCACAATGCTGGTGTTTCCTGTCACGTTAACACTCACAATGGCTTGGCAGGACGGTGGAATCAGCACTCACCCTGTGACAGGGGGACCTCGGCCAGTGGGACAGGCCTGGCTGGCTTCTCAGTGGGAGCGTGGACCTTCCTTAATCCGTTTCTTTTAGAGATCAGCCTCCAGTGCCCCATCAAACACTCAGCACTATCGTCCTGTGGGACAATGATACTGACAGAACTTTTAAAACACTCAGTAACTGTTTTGTTCTGCAGCATCGTTGTCACTTACTGTCCATCCCAATCTTCGACCTGTCCTTAACCTTACTTTTAGCCCAATTCCATCTTCCCTCCTCCTCTTCATCAACAACATAAAGCTCCTGTCCCCCCAACCTCCAGTCCTGAAGAAAGGTCACTGAACTCAAAACGTTAACAGTTTCCCTTCCCACAGACGCAGAGCTTTTCTGGAACGTTCTGCATTTGATTCAGAGCACTTGGAAGTGATTAAAAACGGCAGCTATTACTTACCTGTCTTTAACCTAAACCCATAGTCTGTCCTCCGCAGAGATAGACAAGAAAACCGCCTGTAGATTTTCTCTGCAGCGGACCTGAAGGCAAAGAAAGAAAGGAACTTCCATTTATATATCGCCTTTCATGGCCTCAGGATTCCAAAAGTGCTGTACAGTCAGTGATGCACTGCCCTAGTCCAGTCGCTGATTCATTCTCTGCCCCAGTGAGAGAGACTTACTGAATCCAGGGTGCACAGAGTTGGCGTGTGTTAGCTCCATCACTGACCCACTACCTGACAAGAGAACTGACAATGAGAATGCTTGAAATTTATTGCCTTTTATTTTAGTTTTTATTTGTGATGGATTGCAGCCAAATTTGGGAACCTAATTCCTTGAGGTTGACAGACTGAATACAGCCCCTCGCTGGCCATCCAGTTTTACAGTCCCCATCACCTCCAGCTTCAGCTGTGAAGGTGCTGTTCGGAAATGACCAGGAGCAGGAAGAGAGCTGCAGGTGCTGGGAATCAGAAACGAAAGCAGGAAATGCTGGAAACACTTGCTGGGGGCAGACACTTTGTGGAGAGAGAAAACAAACTCATGTTTCAGCTCGATGACTTTCCAGCAGAACGGAGATGTGTGAATGGTTTTTGGTGTAAAATATTTAATGCTGTTTCTCTCTTCACAAGATGCTGTCTGACTTGGCCGGTGTTTTCCAGTATTTTGGATTTTTATGCAAAAACTGTGAGGCCCTTTCTAGGAGTGCCTGTGATTATGTGTCTGCGTCTGTCCCTGTTTGTCTTTGACTGTCTCTATCTTTTTGTGTGTCTGTCCCTGTGTCTGTCTGTCTCTGTTTGTCTGTGACTGTCTCTGTGTCTGTTTGTGTATCTGTCCGTGCGTGTGTGTGTGTGTGCGTGTGTGTCTGTCTGTCTCTGAGTCTCTCTGATGCCTGGATATGTGCCTTCCTATGAGTTTGCCTTTCAGTACATGCATATCCAGGTGTGTGTATGTGCACAGTACATATTCATGTGGGTTTCTAACCCAACTAACTACCTCCTTGTTTACCAAAGCACGTACGCTTGTTCTCCTTTTGAAACCTGGAGATTTTTATGCTCATATAATTATCTCAAACTTAAGTGCATCCTATGACCTGTTCTCAAGCTGGAGCTCTAGGAATGAATTTGACCCTGATTAAATCTGCTGACCAAGACATTAATATGTTGAATTCTGCTCCCTGTTCCTATCACAGAGGCTGTGATACTGATCTGATTGTGTTGCAGTGTAAAACTGTACAATTGCTTCATTCTGAGTCCTGTGCTAGATGCACTGCCAGTGTCTGTGTATATATCTCGGGATCACGTGGTTCTTAAAAGATGATTGTCTACTTCGAACTTTGTTCTGAATTATGCGCCATTTTTCCATCCAATCTTTTTTAAAACAAAACCTGAATCATGTTTTATTTCCAATGTCGCTGCTACATATTAGAATTAATTATGCAAACTCGAGCTGATTAGAAATTATGTCTGACTATTCACCATGTGTTTCTGATATCACCTTTTGTAATAAAATGGTACATTGCACTGTGCTGACTTTTAAAAATCTTCAGATTTGCAGCAACTTGCCACGGATGTCAGGTAAACGCGAATGAACCTGATGGGGTTCAGGACAGACTGAAGCAGTGCTTAGAATTTGGAACTTGCTATTACAAAGCATGGGTGAGTAGCACAAGGTGTATTCTAGGTGAAGCCAGACAAGTGCGTGAGAGAGGAGAGAATAGAGAGATTTGTTAATAGGGTTTGGAGCAGACTCCTGTGAAATACAAAGCTTGGCATGAACACTCTGCTATCTACTTTCTCCTCACCAGATGGTGCTAAATCTCTGTATCAGCATTTGAAAGAAGGTTTGCAAGGAGAAACTCCGCGGTAAAAGGGAGGAGAGCTCACTTGTCAAGGATTTTTCTTATTTGTTCCTAAGATATGGGTGTCACTGGCTGGGACAGCGTTTATTGTCCTAAAATAACAAGGTGTAGAGCTGGATGAACACAGCAGGCCAGGCAGCATCAGAGGAGCAGGAAAGGTGACGTTTCGGGTCTGGACCCTTCTTCAGAAATGGGGGAGGGGAAGGGGACTCTGAAATAAATAGAGAGGGGGGGAGGCGATGATAGAAGGTGGATAGAGGAGCAAATAGGTGGAGAGAAGACGGACAGGTCAAGGAGGCGGGGATGGAGCCAGTAAAGGTGAGCAGAGGTAGGGAGTTAGGATGGGGCTTGGTCAGTGGGGAGGGAGGAGCGGGTAGGTGGGAGGGAAGACAGACGGATCAAGGAGGCAAGATGAGGCTGGTAGGTAGGAGGTGGGGGGGGGGGTGGGGGTTGAGGTGGGAGGAGTGGATAGGTGGGAGAAGGGACGAACAGGTTAGGGAGGCGGGGCGGAGCTGGGCTGGTTTTGGGATGCGGTAGGTGGAGGGGAGATTTTGAAGCTTGTGAAGTCCATATTGATACCATTGGGCTGCAGAGTTCCCAAGTGAAATATGAGTTGCTGTTCCTCATCCCTAATTGCCCTTGAAAAGGTACCTTCTTGAAGTGATGCTGTCTGTCTATAGGTACAACCACAAGTGTTTTGTAAGAGCAGCTCAAGACGGTTGGGTGACTTTTGAACGGCCCTCTCACATATTAGAGTCGATCTTTCCCTGCATCTCCTCTGTACCTGTAACACTATATTCTGCCTTCTGTTCTAATACCCTGATGTACTTCTGTAAGGTATGATTTGCCTGGGTAGCACGCAAAACACTACTTTTCACTGTATCTTAGTACACGTGACAAAAATAAATCAAAATCGGGAGCACTTAAGAGTTAACCGCGGTACTGTGGGTTTGGAGTCACATGGATGCTAAGTGAGGTACCCTGATGGGTCGGCATGATCCAGATGGGTTTTCAGGCAGTCCAGTAGCTTTCTGATTGCTTAATGTGACTAGCATTTTATTCCAGATTTATTAATTAATTCAGTTTGTGGTGGGATTTGAACTTGTGATTCTATTGCAACCATTTGGGTCACTAGTGTGACTGACATTACCGTGCACTACTGTCCCTGTAAATGAAGAAGTTTGAAAAGAGTTGTTAATCTAAAATAACGATAGCTTGCAACTGTTGGTGCGCTGCCTGCTTTATTTATGGGCGCTATATTTCTTCCTTGGATAGGCTTGGACTTTATTACAACAACAACTTGCATTTGTGTAGCACTCTTTAAACTTAGAAAATACCCCGATGAGAATTGCTGAGGGCAGAGGATTTAGTGTGTGAGAAGGCCGTTTTGCTTTAATATCAGAGAACGCTAGAGAAACCCAGCAGCTGTGGCAGTGTGTGTGGAGAGAAAATCCAAGAGATTTTCTTGTGTCCTGATGAAGGGTCACCAGACTGGCTAGCTATAAAAGTCTTTGGAAATACAAATCAGCAGGAATTTGTTTTCGCCCAGACTGTGTGCTGGGAATTTGGAATGCACTAAGAGTGGCAAAGACAGAAATCCACTTGGGTGCCAAGGCATGTGAAGCTACGTACCAAGCGTTTGACAAATGGGATTAGCATACTCAGTGGGCTGAAGGGCCTTGTTCGGTGTTGCAGATCTCTATGACTGTAAAGTAATAAACTCCGGTGAGTGTGGAGATGAGTGGGGTTAAGAAATTAGGACAGACTAAAACTAATGAAAGACCAATGGCCATGTTCATCAGTTAGAGTTGGAATATTTACATGCAAAGTTTTTTAAAAATAAAAAGCAAGGGAAAGCATTAGTTAGAATTAAGAGATATAATGTTGTAGCCTGAACTGAAACAATGCTTTGGATGGCAAAAATAGGAATTCCACCCCCCGCCCCCAACTCCTGCCACCGGCCTCCCTCCAGATTTAGGGCAGCATTTTGGCTCAGTGGTTAGCACTGCTGCCTCTCAGTGCCATGGTCCTGGGTCCAATTCCAGCCTCGGATGACTGAAGTTTGCACATTCTCCCCCTATCTGTGTGGGTTTCCTCCGGCTGTTCTGATTTCTTCCCACAGTTCAGAGAGGTACAGGTTAGGTGGATTGACGGTGTTAAATCACCCATTGTGTCCAGGGCTGTGTAAGCTAGGTGGGTTACGAGGATAGGGTAGGGGATGGGATGTTCTTCGGAGGGTTGGTGTGGACTGGTTGGGCCGAATGGCCTGCTTCCACTGTTTGGGGGTTCTATGACCTCAAATGTTAACTGTTTTGCCTGTTCGCAGATGCTGCCAGATTTTCTCCAGCAGTTCCTGTTTTTATTTCTGATCTCCAGCATCTATAGATTTTAAAAATCCACTTAGTTTGGACATGTGACACAGCTATGTGGCAAGTGAGACTTGAATCTGAACCTCCAGGCTCAGAGAGAGGGCACTACCACTGCACTAGATGCTTCTGATGGGAAGCCACTACATGATACGATCTCAGTATTCAGTCTCCTGCATGGGAGAATTCAGGTAGGTGTGGAGATACTAGAACAGTGAAGACACAGAGCACCAGAATGTTGGTGCACCCTCTGGTCAATATGACAATGCTGCTGTCATTGAGGTACTTGTTTGGTGCAAATGCTTTTAAAAAGGAATTTGATAAGCACCTCAAAAGGAAAAATCAGATGCAGAACTCTGAGGAAAGGGCAGAGGAGTGGAGCACAGTGAGCCATAACAGACATGATGGGTTGAATGGCCTGAGTGGGTGCTGTAGCCATTTTCTGTGACTTTCGCACAGGCGTCGGTCTCAGTATTTATAACGAAGGTTCACTGGAGAGCGGTTTCCTTGAGGAGAGATTGAGTTGACCATGTCAACAAATGGTATAACGTTCAAGGCAGTGGACCAAGTGCTGGAAGGGGAGAGTTGGTGTTAATAGGGCAGTGCTGATGCAATGGGCTGAAAGGTCCCTTCTATGCTGTGTGATTCTATTTTGAGGTGTGTTCTCAAGAAGAGAGAGAGAGAGGTGATTTCATTGAAACAGAATATCCTTAAGTGTCTCAAAGGGTAGAAACGAGTGAGATCTCTGCTGACTGAGGGCTAGGAATTAGAGGATTTATCACAAAATAGGATTGTGGCCATTGAAGAGAGAACACATCACTCACAAAGTAATGGGTTTTTTGAATGCTTTGTTCCAGAGGATCATGGCTACTCGGTTATGGTCACCCAAGGCACAATGGAAGATGGGGGTGAGCTTTGATTTTTATTCAAATGCAGAGCGGCATCGAAAAACTGAATTGTCTGCTACTAGAGATAGTAGGAACTGCAGATGCTGGAGAATCTGAGATAACAAGGTGTAGAGCTGGATGAACACAGCAGGCCAAGCAGCATCAGAGGAGCAGGAAGGCTGACGTTTCAGGCCTAGACCCTTTTCTG